GGGGTCTGCAACCTGCCCCTTCTGCTGGACCGAGTGGGACAGGCTGAAGTGACCAGGGCGAGGCGGTTCCTCAGATAAACTGGTCCCATGCCATGAAGGGCTTTAAAGATGATGACCAACACCTTGAATTGGACCTGGAAACAAACCGGTAACCAATGCAGTTCGCGCAACAGCAATGTTATATGTGCCCTCCTAGGGACATTAAGAACTGTCCGCGCCACCGCATTCTGCACCAGCTGTAGCTTCCGGATACTCTTCAAGGGTAGCCCCATGTAAAGCGCATTACGGTAGTCCAACCCAGAGGTGACCAGGGCATGAGTGACCGTGCGGAGGTCCCCCTGATCCAGGAAGGGGCGTAACTGCCGCACGACACAAAGTCGTGTAAAGGCCCTCCTGGCCACGACTGTCACCTGCTCTTTGAGCAGGAGTTGTGAGTCCAGGAGAACCCCCAAATTACACACCAGGTCTGTCTGGGGTAGTGCAACCCCATCAAGAACCAAAGATGACAAAGTCTTTGCCTACCTCATCACCATAGTGTAGGTTCACACTTGAGCTCATACTCATATTCAGTTAAATTCAATTCCCATCTCTGCCAGTGCTCCAGGTGCCTCTTCTGCTTCTTCTTCTCCCTTTACTCTTTTGGTAAATCAGGGTTGTCTGGAATCAGCTAACAGAAAGAGGCAGCTTGAGGGCAATCATATCAACAGATTACCCAGCTTGTCCATAGCCCAACTTAACACAGAGACATTCACACCCAATTGCCTCAAAGGCAGAATTCCTGGTCACAGGTAGGGTGTCATTAAGGTTTAATAGCATCATCCTATTCCTTGCCTTGGTGTTGAGACTGTTGAAGGACCTGAAACCTAGAAAGGCAAATCTCCAAGCCCAAACAGGTCTTGTTAATACATACCAGATCAATATGCTCATCTTGCCACCTGCCTTCTTTTAGGTATGCACGCTATATGATTCTTCAAGCCAAATGCATCTGGGAAGCTGTGCCAGGTAGCCCATCAAGGGCTCGAAAAGCATCCAGTTTTGCTTCCTGCCTAGAACTGCAAAAGCACAACCCATCATTGAATCCTGGAAGCCACAAATTGTCACTTGTTGTAGCTCATCGTCAGCTTGGTCTAATGGCCTTATTTGATATTGTAGAATTCACCGTATCCAAAGCTTTATATACCAGAATCAACCTAAGATCACCTCACTTTAGAAGTTTTATTGGGACAGAAAAGAAAGTGATTCATCAGTTATAAAACTTTTAATTTTAAAAACTCTTCTTTCCTTCTGTCTTTTAGAAAAGAAACAACACATCTGTGATTGTCAGCATTCTGTACATTGACTTTTCAGATGGAAACCAGGAGGATATTCATCAATACGAAGTGCAATGTGAGCCTAAAAGGAAAGAGGCCCTTGTGAATCTGATCTCTGGCTCTAATCCCTATAGACCGAACCACTATGCTGAGAACCTGGTTGAGTCTCAGCCAAAGGATGCAGGAGTAGCAGATATCTATGAGAGCAAGGCCCAAGATACCAGTGACTTTGTCTTCATCAGCATCTGCATCCTTGCTGGGATTCTGATGGTGATAGCTATTGTTGGGTTAGTCTTATTATAGGAGTCTGCCTCTGTGCCTGTACTCCTGTACTATTTGAGTGCTTTTATTTATGTATGTATGTATGTATTTATTTATTTATTTATTCATTCAGTTTATATAGCTGACCATCTTACAATTGCAACTCTGAGCAGTTCATCTGGGATTAAAACCAAATAAAAACAAAAACATTACAAACCACAATTAATAATGAAATCATGGCGGCCAACTCAACTCAAATCATAAACAGAACAAAATCACAATGATGAGCTCACCTAATCTCCAGACTCCATGCTCAAGGGAACAACCAGGTCTTCAAGCAGTTATGAAATGCTAGCAGGGTCAGGGCCCCATGAATCTCATGGTATGGTGTTCCAGGGAAGAGGCACTGCAACAGAGAAGACACACTTCCTGGGTTCCACCAGATGGCACTGTTTAATAGATGGGACCTGGAACATGCCAACCCTGTCAGATATAATGGGACAGACAAAAACAAATGGAGAGAAGTGATCCTGCAAATAACCTGGTTCCATACCATGACAGGTTTTATAAGTGAAACCCCGCACCTTGAATTGCACTTGGAAGCCTACTGGGAATCAGGGCAGCTTGCAGATTAGTGATGTAACATGGCAAACCAAGATGCTCCCATAATTGCCTGTGCAGTTTTGAATTATACAAGGCCCACATGACAGCCCTAAGGCTGGTTCTCTGCTACCATGGATCTTAACTCTGAATTTTTGCTCAAAATTATACTATTCGTAAGTCTTTATATCAGCAATACATTATATGTTCTCATTGTATTTCCATTTGTTTCCTATGTATTCCTCATTGCCCTAGTACTAATCTTTGTCACTGTATGTATTTGCCATTTATAGGAATTTTGGCCTTTTAAAAATACATATTTATAATAAACAATACATTGTTGCTTGTCCAATTATTTCTTTGAGCTGCAGTCTCACACCCTGGATTCAAAAGTCACAAGTATAGATTATATGTTTATGAAATTTAATAAAACACTTCTGAAATTATTCAAATCTAGCATTCACTTCTTTTCTGGAAGATAAAAAAGATAAAACACTTCCTAATGATATAAACTTTGCTTTTATTTAAAATGTTAACAAAAGAAGACAGATCTGATTCTTGATTTGTAAAAGTTAGGGTTATTTCCTTAAACCTGATTTAAATTTATATAAATTAAGCCATCTGAAAGAGGTAAGTGCTGATCAAGTATGTAGATTCCTTTTCAGGACCTTAGCATACTTTTGTCTAAAGCAGGAAATAATCATAAATTAATAAAATTAAGACTTCTCATTCTATTACCTTGTCCTGGGCAAATTTTATGAATCAAAAATGAGCTATAAGTAGCATCTTTATTTAATTGTTCATTTCTAATTGTCTGATTATATCTGATTTGAACAAAGGTCACTCGTGGCCTTTGAGTAAAGTAATGGAATTATAGTCAAAACATTGGTGAGGCCAGGAAAAAAAACTACATTTGTTTTTCTAGCATGAAAGAGATGGAATGCTAATTAAAATTTATTTTAGAATTAGTAATTCAGTGCAGTGGTTATGAGTACTCTGTATGCATTGAATAACTTCCCCTCCTGTTATATTAGAAATTAGAAATTACAATTTGGGGCTAACTTTTAGGGGGATTCTGGGTATTGCATCAAGCCTTTCTGGAATTGTGCACTCTATTCTAATGAGATGGTATCCATGGTGCCATTCTATGCCAGTCATTTCACCAAGTGACCAGAGAAGCTTCCAAACAAAGCACTTAATATGCACGCCCCCCCCCAAGAATAATTAGATAATTACTGTTCCATCTGTAACTGCCCCATAGTTTCCTCCTGCTATTTCCTTTTTTTTTCCTTTGGCAAAACTGTCCGTTAAGCATAACAAAATGGAATAGACTCAGACTTCCTTTTTGACTGGTAGCACTAGGATTGGAAACATCTCAAGAAAGACAACTATTCCAACATTTCAAATGCTTTATTTCTGAAGTGTTGAATTATGATCCTTTCTAGTGTTTCCTATCTCTGATGTCTACTGTTCTGGGCCTACTAAGGGAAACCAATGGCAATTTGGATTTCTAATGGCATAATTACCCATTCTGCTCACCGAAAATTCTGTGCAGCTGAAAATTTCAGAGATAGAACATAATGAATTGAATTGAACATGTAAATACAAATGGACTTGTAGGAAAGCTTATACAAATGACCTGTAACAGAGAAGAGAGCACTGTTTGATGGATCAAACTTCTTTTACAGTACAATATTAATTATCATTTCATTTGGCTATCCATTTCTATTTCCTTGTACAAACAACCTTTCTTCAATGTATTTTTAAATTACAATTTTCACATTAGAGAGGATGAGGATGCGAGGCTTGAAGAATAGCCAATTTTCTTTTGATGCTCTACATGTAGCTATGATGCCACATCAAGATCTTTTTCAGCCTGCTAAAGTACTTGCTTTCTGGCTACAATGTAAATATATCTGAAAATAATGTTTGTGTACAGGATGGAAGATAATTCTTTAGATAATAATCTTTTTTTTTTTTAACTTCCTTGAATATTCGGAATAAGAAACTCCAGTTTCACAATACTGTCATGTTCAATGTTCTGTTTCGGCTGTTAAATTGTTAGACTTGATTTAACCAAAAGGCCAAGAAGCACTGTAGTATTAGTAGATTCTGAAGATCTCCTTCTGCAGTTTTTGTTCAAGAGCACACATAGAAGTCATTTCCATAATGAACATCAAAGGAACAAAATGACTTATCCCAGCCTACACACATGACTCAGATTGACACACATAATCCAAGCTGCTTCTAAGGCTCTTAATGTAATTTTGACTCATGTATGCACATTACAGTTTTTAAAATGAAAGTGAGTTCACAGTGCTTCTGTGAAAAACTCAACAGTAAAAACCCAAATTCACAAACATGGCTGGGAATGGAATTAGGGTAGGCATTAGCATTACAGCCACTATTTCCCTTGTCTTTTTCAAATTATCTCCAGATTGTTCCATATTTAAAATTCCTATTAATCTTCCTTTAACATTGAAGCTCTTGAGCGTGTGCTTCACTTTTTATCCTCCAGTTCACTTCTTGTGTTTCTGGTTTGGTCTCATATTCTATTTCAACTATTATTCCTCAAAGTTGCACAAGTTAGAATTTAGCTTCAAATGCATGCACATGTAACTGTGAGCAGACCCCAGTCAACTTAGTGGTATTAATTTCTTGATAAACATGGACAGAATAGGGTTGCAAATTAAACTGAAAGTCATCCAAGAAACATAGGTTTTAACTTTCTTGATCAAGTTATGTATGTATGTATGTATGTATGTATGTATGTATGTATTTTATTTCAATTCATGCTGCCCAACTCCAAGTCAACTGCAGGTGGTTCAGAATATAATAAATATTTTTTAAAAATACAGCACAAAACAAGATGGGATCCCATCACTCTATACAAAAACACAGACAAAAACATATCCAACAAGGGACTCCATCCAGCTAAACCCAAGCCCTAGGATACTTGTTCATGAAATACTTTGGTTCCTATTATTAGCGCTCAGACGGATAAGCATAATTCTGCAAAGCTGTGAGAGAAAACATCTATGCAGCGTAATGTATGAGAGAGGGGGTCAAAAAAGTCAGTATGGTAGTCCTGACCATGTGATTGAACCTCAAGCCCCTTTTTGAGTGTGTTATACATATGACATACATTAAAAGAGGCAGAGCTTCCATCACATAGTCACAACTGCCATCTTAACTTTTTTATGACCTCCCAAGAGCACCCCTGCAGTAGTAAACAAATGCAGGGATTGGATATTATTTTGCATATACCGAACAGAGTTCCATATTCACAAAGAAATCTGTTTAAAACAACTAGGGAAGTGTATAGTATCCTATGGTATTATTCAGACTTTGTGCAGGCAGATTTATTGACACTTGCAGTCATGTGGATAAAAGGAACAGATTAAAAAAAAGACAATCTGTCCATTATTTCTCATAAAGGAAGACTTTATTATCAGGGTTTTCACTGAGTCAATGTTTGTTGGACCAACTTGTTGGTAAATGACAGATTTATAAGGGAAATATTTGCCAACTGTGTTAAGCTTCATTAAGGAAACATTGGTGTATATACATTCAGACCTAGGAAAGAAGGCCAAACTAACTTCAATAATGCACTTCTTAAGGTTAGTCAATTACTATGAATATAACTATCACTTTGAGACTAAAAACAAGGATTGACAATTAAGACCTCTTAAAAGATATAATTATCTTTCTTCTGCCATGTGCGAATACTTACTAGTTGTGTAAATGCTGTTTTTTTGTGATTGAACAAAACATTCACTGGCCAATCTGTCACATGTCAGTTAGCAGTGTAAGAGGTGGCAGCATAATGAAAATGAAATGTGCACAAATATTTTCTTAAGCATTGAGGCACCTGTTTTAATTACAAACCCATCATGCCTCTTGCTCAGTTTCAGCCTACTCTTCATTTCATTATTAATTGCTGCTTCCTGAAGAACTGAGTTATAAGACACGGTAGAAGCATGTGTAAACCCAGACTTGTGGTTTGTAAACCATGATTTATAGCATTATATAATGTGTGAAATCAATTAACAATGGTCTATCCAATAAACCATAATTAAACAGTAACCTAGCATGTTGTGCAAATCAGCAATTGTCCCTAAACTGAACACATCTTCAAGGATTGTTGTTAAGATAAAACATGCAGAGAATTTTGTGCTTGTTGTGAGAAGTACTACATAAATATAATAAGTAATAAAATTACAGACTGATTAAAACCAATCACCCTTGCAGAACTCAAAGAAGAAGAAAAAGTTACACTGATTACTTCACAGAAGGCACGTCATGTCTAGGAATGCTGGAGCTAAGAGCTGGAGCTTTCATTCTGAAAGTCTGTTAAAGTCCCCCCCCCCAAAGGGCTTTTCCTCATGGCCACCTTAAGGTGCACTCCTCCAGTCCTTGAATCAGCAGAAAAATATGACCAT